TCACTGATACACTGTTTCAATTTCAGTTCCTTACTGTACATTTCTGAAATTTCTGTAAACACTGTCGCTGAAAAATAGCAGAAGACATATGTTGAAAAGCACACAGCAAAAAAAAAGCAATATCTTACTACACTACAACAAGCATAATTGCCCACTTTTACACAAAACTGAAGAATATGATAACACTTTTTTTTTTCCATTTAGTGATTTCCACACCACACAGTGCTAAATTTAGTTGCATAACATAGACCTTTGCTCAGATCAATCTGACCATAGTTTTACAACTTAAATATTAGAAAGTTTCCAACATAATTAGCTTGATTACAATAATCTTTAAGAAAAACTGTGTTTTTCCAAATAAGTCTCATATATCATACTGTAACTAACTACCAGTGTCAAAACTGTATCCATAGCCATCTTAAAGAAATTTTCATTCCTTTAAAGACAAGAGCTGTCAGTAGGACAGAATGTACCACTATTAACAGTGCTTGAAATTAAAACAAGAGCCTGGATAATGTAGAATTTTCTAAGTTCAAAAAAGACCATATTAAATCTGTCAAAATACATGTTTAAGAGTTGTGGGCCTTGAACAGTGACCTCCTTTTATGTTCCCAAATCCATTTGTTAAGTTTCAAAACATTGCCTTCAGCTTTTCTGAAGATACCAACTTGCATGCAAAAACTTTCCCAAAGTGTGAGGCTGAGGCCGGGTGTCAAGTACAATAGCTCTTCATATTCTTCAAATAATCAAGCTAACAAGAGCTGTCGGTAGGACAGCAATGCTCGTCTGTTCTTAGTGCTTGATAGTAAAAAAAATGCTTGATAGAGTTACCTCCTCCTGTTTACAGGTTGGGGTCATGATGGTGAACAAGTGTGCAAAGTTTCAAAGCCATATGTCAATGGACTTTGAAAATATTTGAACTATTACAAAAACTTTAACGTAAATTCTAAGTCGAAAAAGGGGCATAATTCTGTCAAAATGCTTGATAGAGTTACCTCCACCTGTTTCCAGGTTGGGGTCATGATGGTGAACAAGTGTGCAAAGTTTCAAAGCCATATGTCAATGGACTTTGAAAATATTTGAACTATTACAAAAACTTTAACGTAAATTCTAAGTCGAAAAAGGGGCATAATTCTGTCAAAATGCTTGATAGAGTTACCTCCTCCTGTTTACAGGTTGGGGTCATGATGTTGAACAAGTGTGCAAAGTTTCAAAGCCATATGTCAATGGACTTTGAAAATATTTGAACTATTACAAAAACTTTAACGTAAATTCTAAGTCGAAAAAGGGGCATAATTCTGTCAAAATGCTTGATAGAGTTACCTCCTCCTGTCTACAGGTTGGGGTCATGATGGTGAACAAGTGTGCAAAGTTTCAAAGCCATATGTCTATGGACTTTGAAAATATTTGAACTATTACAAAAACTTTAACATAAGTGGTTACGCCGACGCCGACGCTCGGGTGACTGCAATAGCTCTACTTATTCTTATCGAATAGTCGAGCTAAAAATTAATACATTTACATGATTTTTCTTCTTCAAAATATCCTCATACCATTCCCTAGATAAGAGCAGAAAAGTATGGGAAGACGGAAATAACTATATTACAACTCCTTAATAACCTCTTGTTTAATTAAGTCATACATATTTTTGCTAAATAAAAGAAACTGAACCAATCAAATCATCTGTCTTTTAAACAAAGATGGCTGAAATTGCTAATATCCTTCTTCTCTAACTCCTTTTCTCTGACAATTGAGTGATAAGTCTTACCAAATCTATCAACATTCCATGTTTGAAAGAGGATTATTTCATCATCGTCATGGTTACTGTGATGTTCTAATTGTGAAACACCTTTAGACATTTCAGACAGTCCACACAGACGATCACAAATCTTCTCCTTGAAAATAAAACAACACTGTTAAGTCTGTACTGTTAAATTAACAAATTTGCTTCAATCTTATTTCAATATATGCTTCATATTTTAATATTTGAAATAGGTCTTTTACAAAATTTCTATGTACATTGTAATGCTAGATCTGTGTAAAGGATAAGTCTTTTTTTATTTTAAATCTAAAACAGTATATCTCTCTTAGATAAAAGATGTATTCTTATATAGAAATACCACAATATGGTTTAACCATGCAGGCTAGCTGAAATCTGCACTGGTGTCACAAGTCTCTTGCCATTACGGCCACCACAAAGTTAAACATTCAAATACATAGCCACTTTATTATGAAGGTATAATATTCTTTCTCTAGCACATCTTGAAAGTTTGATTAATCTTTTTTTAACTATGATATACTACTTAAAATCTACGTCACATTGTTACAAAATTAATTTCAATATTACATTTTATTAAGACTTTTATAATTATGATAATGGCATTGCCAATATATTATCAAATGTAGCTCAATGACTCAATTGCTAATTAGTAGAGCATCGGAACTTTAGATGTTCCATTCTGATTATATTGTACAATGTATATCACTCATTATGCAACAAAATTAAAAGGTGTAATTACTACATGTACTTGTTTTAATGTCTCCCTACCATAAAAATAATCTGCAAAAGTTTTTACCATTCTTTTAAGAAGATTCTCTAATTTCTCACAAAGGTGAAGAAGTGACTCTGGTAACATAACTCTTGCCTTCTCTCCTTCTTCATCTTGACCTAATCTAAAGATAACAAATTGTAGTAAATGAATTAGTAACAACTGCAACCATTTCTGTTTAAATTTTGTTTATCATTTTAATGTTTGAAGCACAGTGAAACAACATGTGATATAAGGTGCATTGCTGATGCAATATGCTCATGCTAGCAATGGTCTCAAGACAAGCCATGCCAGAGATATTAGTTGTTTAAGTTATTAATTTTATTTATTATTAACATGATAACTTTGAAGATGTCAATGTAAAAAAAACACTTTGTTGCTCAATGTCAGATAGAACAATAATGTTTCCTGAAAAGTTAACATATCAGCTCATACCGGTATATAAACATATTTAACATCATAATATGTAATCATATTGTTTCTCATATGTAAGCATATTGTTTCTCATATGTAAACATATCAGTTCTCATACATTAACATAATGGTACTCATATGTAAACATATAGGTCATCATACATATGTAAGCATATCACCCTCATATATAAACATACTGGTCCTCAAATGTAAACATAATGGTCCACAAATGTTCAAATATTGATTCTCATATGAAAGCATATCAGTCCCTAATGTAATCATAACAGTTCTCATAAAAAGAGAAATTTCAACTAGATTGTTGAGTAATTAATATATTACACTAGACAAGTAGGCTTTTCATTCAAAATGTTGAATGCCTATGTAAAATATCCCTTAAAGTGTATAAAGCTGTATCTTTGCCGTCTGTAGTTGAATACAAAAGAAATGTATGAAACTTCCACATCGCATATACAATATATTTGAATATTTCCTTCAGAGCAAATGAGAAATGCATTGTTTCACTGACAAAATATGACTTGAAATAGCTGAATAGTATTGTTCAGGAACATTTTATTCTGTTTATGTACAAAATTAATGTGTGTTCATTTACAGACATTCTATGAGAATGGACCACAAAATTATAAAAGGAACATAAATTTACCTTTTTATAAGTTTCAAAAAATTATTTCATCAGATACTGCTTTATACCCTTTAAAGTAAGAAGGTTAAACATTTTTGAATGGAGCAATGACATTTGTTGGTAGTATCTTACATCTTTTCCAGTTTAATGTTTGCTATTTCACTGACAACATTGGCACCATCTACATTCAGCACTTGCCATTTTTGTGTAAGATTATGTAAATCTGCTGCACCATCTTTTAATTTCCTAGCACTTCCTGTCAGGTTTCCTTGTCTGTTTTGTATAGGTGATTCTTTAACTGAAAAATAAGTGTTTGATAATGCAGGGAGTATTATACATCTTCATTTATCTTCTGTGTCTTCTGAGAAATTAATTCTTTTAGGCTGAGGAGTTCTGATTGGTATATACATGTAGGCTATATGTATGTATAGAACCTATGATTTTGTCACTTTTCATCAAGTTTACATTTGAAAGATAAAACACTTTTACTTAGAATGATATCTTCATCCTTTCAATACATCTTACAAGGAATGTGTTTTTTTTCCTAGGAGTTGTTCTAGAATACAGTTTAATCAATTTGAAGAGATGTCCTTTAGTACTTATCATTAAAATTGAATTGTAGTCTGCATCATCTACATGTATGCCATTTACAATTTTGAATCATATAAAATCTATGATGGTGATATAATAAAGTACGAAATTTAAGTTTGTAAGTGTCACAGGGTGAAAAAAATATGCAGCCTGACCTAAACTCGAACATGTATGGGAATAAGTAACGATTCGCCACAATAACAATTCACCACATAACGATTCGCCATAGTCAAATAATGATTCGCCACAGTTAAACAACGATTCACCACAGTATGAAACCCTTGTAATTCCGTAATGCGCTCCTCCAAGTGAGCTATCCGGCCACTTACACATCTTCTCCCCTAAATAGTGAAGAGTTCTGAACCGTGACATAAGTGTAACAATACATAAAACATAGAATTATTAACAGTTTTTAAAAAATAATTATAAAAAAAAATTAACGGTCTTCGAGGTCGAATTAAATTGAGTACGAATCTTTGTCTTTTGAAAGTTCAGAGTTAGGCTGAATATACATTATACAGTAAAGTGACTATTGTTTGAAGATGGAAAGCTTTCTAGTTACATTTTATAGGAGAAAAACTTTCATCGTAAAATGAATCAGTTGTCTGTTTAGTCGGTGTTTTTGTTTTCTGTTTGGGACCCATGTTTTCGCGAAAATCCGCTTCAAAGGGAGACTACTAGTGCAGTATTGTCAAAATGGGCGACAAAGTGGATGTGACAGTTGTTGGATCATGTAATACTGATCTTATTAGGTAGCATGGAAGTGATACACTTGCACTCTTATCGTCAAATTAATTAAATAATACGTTCACAAAACACTGACTCTGTTGTCATTATGTAAAGATTGAAAAATCTTTGATTTGCTGGGTTTGTTTTTTGTTACATTCGTACCGTTGTCAATTCGAACCATTTCCGATTCGGTCCTTATATTTAATAATTATTGTCTGTACGACTCAGAGTGTAATTCACATTTGTTCAAGGATCATTTGTGATCCATTGATGAAATGGATAGACAATGTTTATGTTAGACATATTGTATCTATATATAAGAGGGTGCTGGTCCAAGGCCAGTCATCTGAAGAAGCCCCAGACCCAGTCGTAAGAGGCATCCCTCAGGGCTCAGTACTGGGACAGCTTTTGTTCCTCATATTAATAAATGACCTTCCAGAGAGACTACTCTCAAAGATATGAATATTTGCAGACGACTGCATCCTATATCTCCAGATCAAGTCCATCCATGACCAGCAGCTGCTTCAAGCTAACCTGCAATTCTCTAGCCAGGTGGGAACACTTGTAGGGCACGGACTTTCACCCTCAGAAATGCAGCGTCCTGCGAGTAACCAGGGTGAAATCTCCTCTTCAGACCAACTATATCCTGAAAGGTATATCTCCTGTTAAAGAACAGTCATTGTAATACTTATATAGGTGTGGACTTACAATCAGAACTCGGCTGGAAACAACACAATCATTGACAAGATCACCAAAAAAGCTAATAACATCATCATGCTACATGTAGGCTTCCTAAAATGTAATTTGAGAAACACAAGCTGTGAAACTAAAACCAACACCTACATATCTTTTGTTAGATCTGACTTAGAATATTGCTGCACTGTTTGGAACCCATATCATAAAAGCCCATGATACAGCGAGGAGCAGCACACTTCACTACAAACAGGTACCATAACACCAGCAGTGTCTCAGATATGCTACATCATCTAAATTTTGAAACATTGGAAACACGCTGTCAAAAGCTCCCAACAATATGCTTTACAAAGTCATCTATCAACTTGTGGAGATAGATCCAGGCCACTCTTAACACCAACTTAGCCCAGATCAGGATTGCCACACAGTACCCAATTCCTGCAGTATTCAATGTCCACGGACATTATGAAGTTCAACTTCTTTCCTTGTTGTATTCCTCTGTGGAACAACCTGCCAGCATCTGTTGCTGCAGCTCATTCTTTGGAATCCTTCAAGAATGAGCTGTGGAAGCTAACCTTCTAAAGGGGACTTGCATGCTCAGTTATGATGCACAGTTAGACCTGTACCGCCAAATGAAGGGCTTCAGCTATACCAGCGGGGTCTTGGACCTGGGCAATGCCATGGAAGCTGGATTGGTCTTGCCTAGATGGCTGAAAAGTAACTGTGTACAACTACTTTCTGCTACTTCATTTCTTTTAACTTCTATCTGGTAAAAACTGTGTCCGTGTCCTTTTTTCTTTCTATTCTATTTTATTTCTTTTTTTTTTCTTTTTTTTTTTCTTGCCCACCGTTAGAGAAATGTCAAGTTTTTTGACAGTTTAACATACAGACATAGATGTAGATATACATTTAATATGTTGCTTTGAAATATTTATACCCAATCATCTTTATGTCACAGGAATAACTAATGTTTCCATTACAAAATATTCTAATAATTATAAAAAGACTTAATATATAGTGCAATGGGAATGGACTTAATTTGTGAATTTGGATATAGAGAATACATGGTTGATGTCTGGATGGAGAAGGTTTATCCGGTGAGCGAGAAAGTGTATCTTGGGGAGCTTTAAAGCTGATATTGCATATACATAGCTAAAAGTATTGCCTTGGGTTAGTTTCTGATTCATCTTGTGTTGTAAATAAATATACTTCTATGAACATTTCAGCTATGTTCCGAGGTTTCCAGTGCCAGGTGAAACACTACAAGGTACCAAGTTTTCAATGGGTTTTGGTGGTAAGGGAGCTAACCAGTGTGTGATGACTGCCAAACTTGGTGCTAAATCTGCAATGATATCAAAGGTTTGAGAGATCATATCTTCTACTAACATTATAAACTACATGTAGTTTGATTTTAACTTGACTAGCTTAATCCTCGTGTTTTTTGCAAATAAGAAAGATTTGGTTTTGAAAATGCTAATTATTCAAATTGTGGATATTATTCAGGATTTTTCCCTAGGAATTTCAGACATCGGGTCCACGAACACCCTTGTTTGAGATTTTGGAAGTTTTTAAAGGGTCCCCATATTTAAATCCCCATATTGAAACTTAATTTCATCAAGTTAATCAAACATATATAGATTGTTCCTACTTTTTAGATGTAAGCTTCTATTTCAAGGACAGACATATTAGTGATAAACAGTAGAGCTTGTAAACTGAGTATCTTGAATAGAAAATGTGCCTAATAATACAAAAGTTAAAGAAGTTACCAAATTACCTTGAAGGTACGGAAATTCTAAAATGGATATCGAGTTTCCAGGGTTTCCGTGGCTTGCAATACTTCTGTAAAATAGCAGTCCGGGGATTAAAATAGAAAAACCCTGCATATTGCTTTTTTTTTTAAAAAATAGTTACATGTGTATGTTATGACATCAGTTTAATATTATGATAGTTTATCTGCTTTTTATTCATTGCTAACAAAATTAATTAAAAGCCTTGATAATCAGGTGAGCAATATAAGGGCCTTCATGGCCCTCTTGTTTGTAGAAAAAGTCACATGTGTTGATTTACTGCTAATATCTATGGTTGAGTAGAATATAGAGTTAACATTTAAAAGCAACTAATTTGTGTGTACTTTGTACAGCTTTGGGATTTTATAATCCAATTAACTAGTAATTATGCAACAGCAGGGAAAATATGAGTCCATAAAGTGTGTTAAACTAACACTTGAGATCAATTATTATACACATTTGTAGGTTGGTAAAGACACTTTTGGAGATGGTCATATTAAAAATTTCAAAGATGTTGGCATTTGTACAGGTATAATTTCAGCACATTGAGATATCCAAATTGAAATATTTACTTTCGATAATATTCATTTATTTTGAAATAACTCTTTACTTATCTGTTTTACCACTTTTTGAACATGTTTTTACCATAAAACCAATTAGAAATACTGGTAGATACTACTGTGTTGCTTTTTGTTAAACATTATATAACAATGCTCAAGATACAATACTCGTTGCTTTACATTTCTTATTTTAAATGAAATCAGATATATTGTTTTGATTTTTATGTCAAAGTTGAGACATCATTTCAAAAGAAAATATTATTACATCATGAATTCATGATTATGCCCCATCAAAGGTTAGTTTGTGATGGTGCCCTGAACTAAAACAAACCTTTATTTTTATGAAATGTGTAAGATAAAAGTCTTATAGTCACCAGTGCATTGCATTAAGGACAAATCATTAAGATCAACATTACCTTAATAACATTCTTGATCCTTAAAAGGTTAACATGAACTAAGATGTCCATGTAAAATGACAAATTTATTTTCAGTAAGTGGTGCATACAAAAGTCATGTTCTACAAACATCTTTTGATATTTTCGTAATTGAAAAGAATCTAATACATGTAATGTATATATTGTTGAGAAACTTATTTGTTAGTTATCATGTATTGTATGTTATATGATATAAACATGTATGTTATATGTTGTTTTAGACTATGTTTACACAACAACCGAGGCATCAACAGGGGCGGCACCAATATGCGTCAATGAAAGTGGTATGCAAGTACATTTCTATGTTCATCCAACTGTTACTACTTTGTTAATGACTGTTATATACTACATTTATTATAATATGGACAATGACAAGACAATGTCTCTCTTACATAATTTCAGGCTAGAAATAGCACTTGGGCAGAACTTTTAGTTGATATCAGGTTTGTTCAATGAAAAAACTACATATAAATGGCTTTCTTCAAATGTCAATGCAATAAGTGGTAAATTGATAATTCTAACTTACTTCACACTATTCCCCTCTTAAACAGATAGGCCAGTCAAGTGCATTATTATAAATTTTATAGGTAGCATAAAAACTGAATGCTTACATGTCCTATGACATCAGATTTGATGCAAATTTTACAACAACTCATTTAAAAATTGATATCTATTTCCTACTTATAATATGAATGGTTGACTTTTTATAAATAGTTACATAAATAAAGCAGTTTGCCTCCTGAAAATGACTGAAAGAACACTGTCCATCTACATAATGTATTTTGGCATTTGATGAAATGTTCACTTGAATTTTATTTTTATTTTCATTCTAGGTCAGAACTCTATTGTGATTATACCTGGAGCTAACTTGTTGCTTGATGAACATGACCTTGTCAGTGCTGAAAAGGTCATTTCAGGGTCAAAGGTCATGTTGTGTCAACTGGAAATCAATCCAAAAATAACTTTAGAAGCATTAAAAATGGGAAGAAAACATGGTGGTAAGAATAATAAATGTATATAAAAAAAGCTTTTTTCTAAACAATTAAAAAAAATGTCACATAATTAATTACTGTATGTAAGTTCATACTAGGTCTTCCAAATACACATTACATAGACATAAGAAGTGAATTATTTAGATACAAGTGTTACTCAAATACTTGTTTACAATATAATATTGTTTATTTTTTGTACAAAGTAAGTTATGCTTATACAGTGAAAATCTCTATATCGAGTCTAGTTGCAATGATTATTTTTATGCCACTGCAGCAGCTGCGATGCGGTGGCATCCACCGCAGCATCTGCGTTGCGGTGGCATATAGCGATTCACCTGTGTGTTTGTGTGTGTGTGTGTGTGTGTTATTTAGATTATATAGTGAACTTAAAAAATCTTCTTGTGAAAAACCACTAGTCCAATTTCAACCAAACTTGGCAGGATTGTTCCTTGGGTGAAGGCCTTCCAAAGTTGTTCAAAGAATTTCATTCCATGCAGAATTCTGGTTGCCATGGCAACCAAACGGAATTATAAGAATAAATTTAAAAAATCTTCTTGTAAAGACCCAAAAGACCTAGAGCTTAGATATTTTGCATAAGGCATTGTCTGGTAGACCTCTACCAAGATTGTTCAAATTATATCCCTGGGGTCCAAATCGGCCCCGCCCCGGGGGTCATTGATTTTTCACTATATGTACATATAGTAAAAACTTAAAATACCTTCTTGTCTGAAGGTACCAGGCTTAGAGGTTTGGTATTTGGGATGTGTTATTATCTATAGGTACTCTACCAAAGTTGTTCAAATTTTGCCTCTAGTGTCAAAATTAGCCCTGCCCCGGGGGTCATAGGTTTTCCTCATATGTATATAGTAAAAACTTAAAAAATCATCTTCTCTAAATTGACAAAGGCTAGAGGTTAGATATTTTGCGTGAAACATTGTGTAGTGAACCTCTAGCAAGATTGAATAAATTATAGCCCTGGGGTCAAAATTGGCCCCACCCCCGGGGGTCATTGATTTTCACTATGTACATATAGTAAAAAATTAAAAAATCTTATTGTCTGAAGGTACAAGGCTTAGAGCTTTGATATTTGGTATATGATATCATCTATAGGTACTCTACCAAAGTTGTTCAAATTTTGCCTCTAGTGTCAAAACTAGCCCTGCCCCGGGGTCATAGGTTTTCCTTACATGTATATAGTAAAAACCTTCTCGAATTGACAAAGGCTAGAGGTGAGACATTTTGCAGTAAACATTGTGTAGTGAACCTTTAGCAAGATTATTCAAATTAAAGCCCTTGGGTCAAAACAAAAAAAAATGTGTTCCTGCATTACTATTTTAGTGTTGTATTTATGCGGTGGCATAGCATTTTTTACAAATGCAATCTTGTTTAAAAATAATCATTAAGTTTATTCATAATGTTTTCTTCGCACACAATCATATGCTTTCAAATATCAACATTTAAAGGAAGGGAGATAACTCAAGCAGACATTTTAAATCAACTCAATGGTTAAGCCCCTTTATTTGAAAAGTTTCACAAAAAGTGAAAATTTTCAAAAATAATTTAAAAGAAATAATGTAAATATTCAATTGATGTAACTATTGATCCAGTTTTACAAGGTTAATTATTAAACAACTTGAACTTCACATTCTTTAGACTTGGACTTATCAGCTTTAAATAACCATTAAAAGCATTTCCCCCCTATCAAATATTTGAACATATCATATATTTTTGATGCTGACATTTAAGAACAAACATAGCTTTAACATAAGGTATCTATAATTATAATGTTTGTCACTGATTTACTCTTATCCTTGCTGAATTTCTATATGGATAGGTCCTACTGTTTATCATCAATTTTGGGGAAATCAGGATAATAAATTGAAATCTGTCTGCCAATAGTAAAGAGTCTGGTCTGTGCAGGCTGGCCTGGCTCTATACTTGTGGTAAAGGATAATCACTTTTGGTTCAATGATTGTTGAATCAACATAGTTGAAGCAACATATTTTCAAAATGTACATATATAGGCCTATAATTGCTGTAATTGAAATATTATAATTTCAGGAACAATATCATTCTATTTTTTTTATAGATGATGCATATATATTGTATATATGTTTTTAACAATAACAGACTTCCCGAAAGATAAAAAAAAGTGTCAGACATTCGGTCTGACAAACCATGAAAATCTGTCAGACCAAAACGAAATCTTTCAGACCGAATAAAATTAATCAAAATCAAAGGAAAACTTGTGTTTGTATTTCTAAGACACTTTTTGGTTTAAATTTTTTGGCCGTAAAAATCGGCATAGTCCGTACAGCGCATTTTCATCTCCTCCCTGTTGTACACCAACAATATATGGTCCTGCTTCCATTTTTCATTAAATTTTGTCTCAGGTCTATTCTTTTCATCCTTTTACTGCTGTTCTGTGGGCTCCTCTGACGTAGATTTTCGTTTTTCCCAGGTTAGGCACCTTTTGCCATGCCATTTTGTATACATGCGACTTGGATAAAAGCCAGACAGATGGACCGATCAGGAATAAAAAATCATCGGACCTAATCTAAATTTATCAATGATATTTCGGGAAGTCTGCAATAATATTATGGTTTTCATTTAAAAATATGTTATTATGGTTTGCTAAGATTTTATCTTAGATATGCTTGGATATTATACAAGATGTTATGTTAAAGGCCCATTATGCTTCAGAAATGCTTTTATTTTGATTTCTCAAAAGCTTTATATTTATGGTATCCTATTATTGTTTCCAACAGTAACTAATGGCCAATTTACTGTACCACCTTTTGCTGCTGTTGCTTTTTTGGCAATTACATGTAGTACAGTTATATTGATTAAGCATTTTGTATGGAAATAAAAATACTACTTTGTTTACGTTTTGCTACTTTTATAACAAAATATACAAAATATAAGTCAATACAATATACATATACATATACATTACAAACTTGTAAATACATTAGTAATATATTTTGATACAATGTCATGTAAACATTTATATGCCACTTTTTAAATCAATAAAAATATATATTGTGTTGTTGAGGATAAACATTTTGGTAATTGATAGAATTAATTACAGAATTTCTAAAATTTGAACATTATGATACTCATGTTATTCTTTTTCTAAATGAATTTTTTTTTCTGAAGCACAAGGTACCTTTTAAATTTAAATATCATATAACATAAAGGTCATGTCTATTAACAGTTACAGCAATGACTAGTGTATTTTAGTTTTGTGCTAATAGAAATGAGTATTGCAAAAAATTTGAACAAAGACTTTAAAGAGCAGTAGGTCAGGTTATTAACCTATATCATGCTGAAAGGACATTTAGATATATATCTTGAACTATAATAATTATGTACTACATGTTAAATACTTGCCCCTCACCGCTGTGGGTTTGAATCCCGACAGGGACTTTGGATTCTTTCATATGCTAGCATACGGAACGTCAGTGGTTCTACTCAGGTGCCCGTTCGTGCCTGAAATAATGCACGGAAGGGCACCTGAAGTCTTCCTCCACCAGTAAAGCTGGAATGTCGCGATATGACCTGTACTGTGTCGATGTGATGTAAAACCCAAAACAAACAAACAAACAAAACATGTTAAAAACAGTATGATAAACACTTGGAGCACACAACTTGTAGTTAAGTTATCAAAGCTGTTGAAGATGTCAGTTGACATTCTTTAAAAGCTGCATGTCTCCAGATGAGCCAAAATGTTTCCAGAAAATCAAACTTTAGAAAAATGTACAAAGTTTTAAAGGAAAATAAAAAGATTCATAATTAGATTAAGAACTTACATACATATATTATAATGGAATAATTACTGCTTTTGCACAATTTGTCTAATATTTCTACTGCATGACAAATACAGTCGTGTCTTTTTTGTGTATATATTCACCCCTTTTTGGTAATTTATGTGGACTTTAAATGCTGCCATTTGCAGTGCCAATTGCTATCTTTGTTTACTTCACAATATTTTACTTTTCAAAACATTTTTTTTTAAAAATTCATGAAAAATTGGCATGAATTTGGAGGCATGCTGCTTTATAATAATCATGATATTTCACAATTTTTCAGTTCAGACAATACTGAATCCTGCACCAGCTATTCCTCTAGACAAAGAGTTTTACAGTTACACAGATGTTTTATGTCCTAATGAATCTGAGGTAATTATATTTAAAGTGGTATTTTTCTATGGCATGTACAACATATATGAGCCGTGTCACGACAAAACCAACATATTGGGTTTGCGACCAGCATGGATCCAGACCAGCCTGCCCATCCGCGCAGTCTGATCAGGATCCATGCTGCTCGCTTACCAGCTCTATATAAGTAGAGAAACTGATAGCGAACAGCATAGATCCTGATCAGACTGCGCGGATGCGCAGGCTGGTCTGGATCCATGCTGGTTGCAAACCCACTATGTTGGTTTTGTCGTGACACGGCTCATATCTTGTTTTTAGCTACCCCTACAAAGTTCTTAGAGATGAGCTTTTGTGATCATGTACAACATATATTCTGTTGTTAGCTACCCTACAAAGTTCTTAGAGATGAGCTTTTGTGATGGCATGATATCCAATGTATATAAGTCTCCTCATGTGTGAAACAACAATGCTCAGAGATTAAATGTATGGCTGGCAATATTATCTTGTGGTCTTCTATGAAAGTTATATAATTCATGCATCTAATTTCAAAATTGATCCAATCCCTGGGGTCACTTAAGTTTCAAATTTATACAGGGACAGGCATATAATTTTTTTTTGAAACTACATGTCCAAGAGCTTAGTTATTTTGCATATATCATTGTTTAGTAGAGGTATTCGAAATTTATATAAATGATTCCTGGGGGAAAGGGGTGGTCAAAAATGGCCCCACTCTGGTGTCACTTGTTACATTGACTTGTTCATGTATAAGAATCAGATTTAAACATTTTCTCTTTAGAAACTACGATGCCCACAGTTTTTATATTTGCCTTGAAGTCCTCTGTAAAATCTGTATGAATCATCCCTCGAGGCTCATAATTGGGAGTCACTTCTTTGAAGTTACATATTTTAAAGCTTAAATATAAACTAAGATGCATGCAGCAGTGCTTAGTTGACGTAATGTAAATTGTGTCCCTGTTGTCAAATATGGCGGTACCCCATGGTAATTTTTGTTACATTAAGTTGTGTAGTATACAGAGTTCTAAAATCTTCTCAACAGAAACTACAGTGCCTACAATTTTCAAATGTAGCAAGCTTAATATATGGAACCTTTACAAAAGTTCTACAAATCATGCCATTTGGGTTATTAATGGCTTAGCCTGTGATCTTTTACAGCATTGAAGAATAATGACCTTGAGCATTCTAGGGCCATCATGGTCCTCTTGTTATATAATCTATCAAAGGACTTGCCCCTCCCCACTGTTTGATTTTCATCCAGGGATTATGAAATTGTTTATGTGAAGAAGCAGTGGGTGTTGGTAGTTTTTCACTCAGGATCTCGACAGTTAGCCACATTGAATTTACTAGAGAAAAGTTCAGCCACTGCCTTGTTCTTGGTCATGCTGTCAAAATAGTTTACCAGTACTAGCTTTCACTTTCCCAAGAGACTTCTGTACATGCCAGAGCGGAGGTACATTGCTAATGATAGTAGATAGGATTTTATTAACAATCACAAGGCACTGTCCGGGAATCAAACCCGGGTCACCCGATTCACAGTGCAACACTACCTATTGAGCTTACTGGACTGCTTTCATGTAAAGAATCTATCCCTACCTGTAGTGATATTTGACTGAAATATCGTATAGAGAGGCACTTAAGGTCTTTATCCAGCAGGATAGCTGGATATTGGAAAGTCGTCATGACAGTGTTAAATTGGACTGAAAGGATAAAGAGAAATTGTTGATTTAATAAAAAGATGAAGTCTGTAGAGTTTTAGGGAGAATTTCTTATTACTGTACTACCTTACTCACAATTTAGATAGAATATTTACATGTGGATAAATAATCTACATAAAAATTAATGGTCTTGCAGCTGTCAGGAATAAGGTGAATAATAGGATATACAAAAATGGTGAAGATGGATAAATGGGCACTAGAAAACTATTTTCAGTTGCCTTTATATTTTCCTTTATGTATCAACTTTGTAAATTATTATTTTTATAAGTAATCTTGTATATTCCATTTTAAAAAATAGTAATTCACTTACCTTTTAGGCAGAATTATTACTAGGAATTCCAGTAAAAACAATTGATGATGCCAAATTAGCAGCCAGGAAGTTACATGATGTTGGATGTAGAGACGTTATTGTTACCCTCGGTGAAATGGGTTGTGTTGTGATGGAGGGCAATACCAGCAATGTTGTTCATTTACCTGCACCGAAAGTAGAGGCTCTAGACACTACAGTATGTATGTCTCTGTTGCATTTTAAGATAAAACAGTTTTTTTGACAAGATCATATGATGTTCATTAAACTTGAAAGTTAAATTGGCATTAATGCCTGTGTTTTAGCCAAAATATCCAAAACATAATTGTAAAAAAAAATAGGGTTTAAAGTAAAATTAAATCTTGAAAATATTTACTGGTCAAATTGACAGTTCTGTTACAACGTCTTCGTAAAATCAAGATATTTTTATTTCATATTTTTTTTTTTTTTTTTGGATGATTTTAAGATGCTTTTGTCCTTCTCAAGCAGTATGACCAGTAATGCATATTTCTCTGTGTTAAAAATAAACATAGATCACTCACCAACCCCAAACACAAAAAATTGTTATTTTGAAAGAATGTCTGTACACAAACAAAGATGGTACATGTAGTAAAATGCTAAAGAAACCCAAGTTTTAACTGGAATATATTGGCATTATATATATTGAAAAAATAAGAGAACATGGTGGATCAAGCTGTCAGACTATTCAGATATGATTGTTGAAAATGTTGAATTTCACAAATAAATAATACAAAATTAACTGCCATAACAGTAACAGGTTATATTTCAATGTCATTGTTTTGATTTTTCAGGGAGCAGGTGATTCATTTATAGGCAGTCTAGCATATTTCTTAGCTACCCGACCAGAGCTTGGCCTTGTGGAATCTGCTAGACGAGCTATACAGATAGCATCAGTAAGTGTTCAGCATGCCGGGACTCAGACCAGTTATCCTACAAAAAGCCAGCTACCGGCAGAATTGTTTTCATGATAGGAGAACCAGTATTTTTTAATAAGATGAAATATGTAGTGTCTTGTAAAGGAATAGAGACTGTAACACTGTGAATAAATGATAATAAAAGATGGTTGTAGTAAATAGTTAAAGACTAGTCAGTGAATACCTCTTTAATTGGGAAGTATACAGTGATGTTATCACTAATTGGCTGTCAATGGTTGGTTTTAGGGGCGGGGAGAGGGGGGTTAAACTTACATATACATGTTGTTATGTTTATCAACTGTTAAATACTTTTTTGAACAAAACTTGATGAGGCATAAATGAAGCAGTTTGACTGTTTTATCTCTGTCATTAAAATGAGAATATTCCATGATATATTATATGGAGGTTTAACATGATATTTCATGAATTATGATACTTTGTGCTGTGATGAACATACATGCAAATTTTTAGAAGGAGTCTTAACCTAAGTTATAATTTTGAATGTTTTTTCCTGATAGATTATACATGTATATTTTAAAAAAATGAAAATTTAACATTTAATTTATGCATGTTTTCTTTCAAAATCTTCATACACAAATGTCATGGACCATATATATTGTTTGTTAATATTAAGATATTCAGTGTATTTTTTTTACATATCAATATTTGTAAGTATATAATACTGCTGGTTTGTAACATCAGTTTTCATTGGACATTTTCATTGTTATGATAATTTTATTTATATTTGCTGCAGAAAATATTTTATTCAATTTAGCAGACCGTAAATAAAGATTACAGATTTTATGATATTGCACGTTTGTATTGTTACTTTTTATTGGATACTGGTATCATGATGTTTATATAGTTTTATATACATGGCTGCTTTGAATTTATGAAGAAATAACTTTTTTTTTCCTCCAAAAAAAAAGGAAGTTTGCTGTATTATTAATTCTTTACAAAGATTCTTGACAGTTTATATGGCTGTACATACTGTAAATGGTTGTTTGCAGTATAAACTTTACCTAGAGGCTTTGGTTATATATGCAAACAACCATTTATTTGGGGCCATATAACCTGTCAAAAAAAAATTTATAACAAAAAATATAGCTGTGTTTATAGTCTTACCTGAATGTATAAATAAAGTAGGTAACATTTGACTATTGATCTGTCATTGAAATGAGAGCATTTCTTAAAATATTGTATTGAGGAGGTTTAACATGATAATTCATGAATGACGATCATTTGTCTTATGATTAACATGTATTTTTGCATAAACAACTATGCACGCAGGTATATATTAACACAGAAGAAAACATCCATTAACAGATGAAAGGACATACGCACACACAATTGTCACCATAATATGCGTCACTCAGGGTACATGGACTTTGGCTTTAAATGCGTCATTGTGCTTCTGCTGAAAAAAATTGCATAAGCCCTTTAATATTCAAAACAGACAAACTTTTAGAAGAAATCATAAATCAAAAGTAATAACTTTAAGGGTTTTCCTTAATAGATTATACATGTATACTTAAAAAAGAATAATGTAACATCTGTTTTCGAGCATATTTTCTTAAAAATCTTCATAAACATATCTTCATAGAATATAACAACTGAAATGCCCGGTCAAATGGTTTATTCAGATGCAAGGGTGAAGTAACCAAACACACATGCATACACACAACTCCCAGATTGATTTATATTTTATGACCCCACACAGTATTTTATACAATGTTTATAGCGACTTTAATAATTTTTAACTTTCCCAATCTTCACGTCATTTTAGGAATATCATTTCAGTTTAAAGAACATTTACTGATCAGAAATTATATCAGTTTGCACAAGACAAAAGCTAAAAATAACGAGAGTGTCAGAAATAGTAGCCAACTATATCAAAGTCAAAATTAGCACTGTTGAAATAATAGAGATATATACATGTATATACAGACATTTTATTAGTGATAACTAATATAATTTGCTGTGACTAACTTACTCAAATAGATTTTAAACAAATAAATTTAAGAAATTAGAAATATGAATCGGCTGAAATAAGAAGTTATTGCATCAATATACAAATGTTCATGTACATGATATCAGTCAATTTATCATATGTTTAAATTAAGATATGTTTGAAGAACTGTCTTGTCTGCTATCATCACCCATTCATCTTCAACATAAAGTGACATAATGCCCATCCATGGATATATACTATATAGTAAGTGAACAGGTGAAAGTCAAAATAAGTTTACATTTTACCATTATTCCTTTCATTTTTAGCTCGACTTTTCGCAGAATAATCGAGCTAATGCAGTCACCCATTTGTCGTTTTCAGCGTCCCTGTGGTTAAGTTTTTACGTGTTAGGTGGTATCTCCATAACTACTGAGGGGTATGGATTTAAACTTCGCACACTTGTTCTCTGTAATTATCTAACATGATTGGCACAAGTCCCATAACTCTGATGTGCTTTTTAGCTCGACTATTCGAAGAATATGAGAGCTATTGTAGTCGCCCCGGCGTCGGCGTCAGCGTCCGCGTCGGCGTCTGCGTTGGTTAAAGTTTTTTGTAAAGTCAAATATCTCAATTATTGCTTGAGATATTCAATTGAAACTTACAATACTTATTTATAGTAACAAAGTACATCAGATTGACAAGTTGGATAACTCTGCCTACAATATTGACAGAATTATGCCCCTTTTTAACTTAAAAATTTTGGTTAAAGTTTTTTGTAAAGTCAAATATCTCAATTATTGCTTGAGATATTCAATTGAAACTTACAATACTTATTTATAGTTACAAGGTACATCAGATTGACAAGTTGGATAACTCTGCCTAAAATTTTGATAGAATTATGCCCCTTTTTAACTTAGAAATTTTGGTTAAAGTTTTTTGTAAAGTCAAATATCTCAATTATTGCTTGTGATATTCAATTGAAACGTACCATACTTATTTATAGTAACAAGGTACATCAGATTGACAAGTTGGATAACTCTGCCTACAATATTGACAGAATTATGCCCCTTTGGAACTTAGAAATTTTGGTTAAAGTTTCTTTGTAAAGTCAAATATCTCAATTATTGCTTGAGATATTCAATTGAAATTTAAAATACTTTGTTAAAGTAACAATGTACATCAGTTTGCAAAATTGCATTACTCTGCCTGTAATATTTGCAGAATTATTTGCCCCTTTGAAACTTAGAAATTTTGGTTAAAGGTTAAAGGTCTTCAAAGATATTTACATGAAACTTTACACATGTACTTACGGTCATACTTTAAGGGTCATAATATTTTGTCACTGACCAAGTTCCATAACTCTATCCTGCATTAAGGCTGATTCATATCCCCTTTTCTACTTAGTCTCTTGGTTAATGTTTACATGCAAGTTTTACATATCTCAGTAACTATTAAAGATATTTATTTAAAACTTCACATATGCATTTAGGGTCATAATTGTAGGTCACTGACAAAGATCCATAATTCTATCTTGCATTTAGGCTGATTTTTCTCCCCTTTTTCAACTTAGAAATACATGGTAAAGTTTTGCTTGTTAGCTGTTATCTTCATAATTACTGAAGGGTTTGTGCCTTTTTTGGGACAATTTTATGCATTCATAATAATAAAGCAGTGATTTACTTGATAAAACATCTTAATAACAAGCCTTTGTACATTTTCTGTCAATTTTATGTATTCATAGGTAATTAGTATTATTTTACTCAATAAAACACCCTTGTGATATTACCTTCCGAATAGTCAAGCCAATACTGTATAATTAGACTCTCTCTCTTGGGCCTATAACATGAATTTATAAAAAAAATTAGCCCTTTTGTGAACTTAGAAAATTTAACATTATCAAAGCTCTAAATTTAACATTATCAAGGCTCCTTTAATATCAAGGACTTAGAATAGTCGAGCGTGCTGTCCTACTGACAGCTCTTGTTTGCATACTTATGCCCCTTTTTCGACTTCTTGGTTAAGTTTTTACGTGTAAGCTGGTATCACCATAACTACTGAAGGGTTTGTGCCTTCTTATGTGACAATTTTATGCATTCCTAATAATCAAGCAGTTATTTACTCGATAAAACATCTTAATAACAAGCCTTTGTATCTTTTTGGAAAGTTTATGTATACATATAGGTAAGCATTATTATACTCAATGAAACACCCTTGTGACAACTTTTTCGAAAAGTTGAGTGTCGTTGTCTTTCGACAGCTTTTGTTATATTACCTTTGCATTAACGATAAATAACTCATATGGCTCAAGGCAGACAATATCTTATCCTAAACATTTTCAATACCAAATGTTGGTCAATCACCATGATAACAGTCAATCTATTGAAGTGTAAAGTCAGTCCAGCTCAATTTGACAATGAAAAAAATGAGCATAATATCACTTGAGCTGCATGCCTCCAGATGAGCAAAAGAAAGTCAACTTTGAGAAAAATGAACTTGGACTTAAAAAATTAAAAATATTCACAATGCAGTTAATGATCTACATGTTATATGCAATGAATGACTGATTTTGCAGTACATTGTATTTATCATCATATTTCTACTGCATGACTAATGTAGTAAGGGCCATTTTTGCATATTTTTACCTTTATTTGGTAATTACTTGAATTGGCGTTTGTAAATGTGTAAATTACTTACTTTGTTCACATGACAATATTTTATTTTTTAAAACATTTTCAAAATTTTCATGACAATAGGCATGAATATGGAGGCGTCCTGCTTTAAAGAAATGTTACCCAATATACCCCTTGTTTGGAATTGGCCCTGTAAATACTAATTTAATACTTAATATTTAACCTTGTTTGTTACGAAACCAGATTGTATTGTGCCTTTAGTGTTTACCTCAATGTCAATGTTATGAATTATGAAGATTAGAAAGAAAAAAAGAAAAGAAATTAGTTTAAAATTTATTTCTACTACATGTATTTTGTACTATTAACCTTTGCCCTCAATGTTTGACCCAAATTTCTAAAAGGCAATATATTTCCTATTGTTATAGAATATTTGCTTGTGATAGCTAGTTATAATGTCTTCTTACTGAAAATTTTAATATCTTTATCTACGTCAAAACCATGTCTCAATCTTCTTTCTCACTTTCAGCATCTTTGACCTAATTTTTTTACTGTATCATTAAAAGTGTACAACTGATTTCTTTTAAAAAGTTTGGATAAATTTCCTAAATTCAACTGTTGATTAGTATACTATAAACTTAAGGACATTTTCGGGAGTTTTCATTTAGACATATAGGCAAAATAAAAACTGTTCAATAGAATTTCTTTAATTTTGCCTATATGTCTGTACGAAAACTCCCAAAAACATCTTTAAAAGATTTCTTTTACTTTGGTTGTAATATTTCTGTTTGTTTTTACTTATGGGGCAACTGTGACTAAGTGGTTAAGGTCATTGACTTCAAACAACTTGTCCTTCACTGCCGTGGGTTTGATAAGAGACTTTGGATTCTTTCATGTGAGGAAGCTATTCAGCTAGCTTACAGTAAAGCTGGAAAGTAGCCATATGACTTTTACAGTGTTGGTGCCACCTTTATCCCAACCAAAACAAAAAAAACTTTTGCATTTTTTTTTCTCTTTTAACTCTTTCAATATCCTGGACCCATGAAGTCATAGCCATTGCCAGACATGCATACCGTTCAAATAAGAAAATTCTTGAGTCACAGTAATTAATATTATCCTTACAGTGTAGGGTATAAAAGTGTCTTAATAATTAGACACAATGGAATTATTTGTGCACAGATAGTCTAGATACTAGAAGGTAGCTACCATAAAAGAAATAAGAAAGCCAGGGAAATAACACTCACAGTTCTCAAAACCTCTTTGGTCTAAGGGATACCATCTAGGGTACAAGTACTGGTAAATGCCACAAAGTGGAAAGTCGAACAACACGTCTGTATGAATTTCTGTATTCTTGTTAGGTTTTTAGTGATTGAAAGATGAGGCCATTTAAAATAATTACCAGGTAATGAGTTTAAATTACCACTCTATAACTGGATAACACACTAAGGAAAAATGCTTAACTATATAATTTAGATCTATGACATTTTAAACAAAGAAAGGCTAGATAATTGTTTAGGAAACTTAAATAAAGACCATTGTTTGTCATATCAAGGATACGTCAATGGCTATTAATGAGAAATTATGATTATCATAGTTGTTATGGCAACAAGAAATACGTAACTATGTACTGTGATAATACCTTGATAAATGGTACTGAAAAATCTATAACTTTTAATTATCATAATGCTACTTTAACAGAGAAAAGGTTGCGAAATCTATTGATTTTCTTTGTTGTTACAAAGGCATCTTTGTATTGGTTGATGGGTATGAAAAGACACCGGAAAGGTCCCCTTTCTGCAGAAAGGACTTGACATGGCTGGAAAGGGCCGATTATGTTCTTAATAATGGCATTTTCCCAAAGATTTCAATAAATATAATTATAGATTGACTTTCTAAGCTATTAATATTGAACAAATGCAACCTGTTAGTTGATATATGTAATCTGATCAGAATCAAAACTGTAATTTACTCACATTCAGTATTTTGATAGTCAATTTCCTTTAGGTAATAAACCGACAATTCCAAAAACAGTACCATTTAGTTTTAAGTATCATTATTCTAATAATACTTTTTGGGGACCCAGAAATGGCAGTTAAAAGCTGGGCCAAATAACTACTACTCTTAACCAGTATCAAACCATGAACCAATTGTCAAACCAGTATGAATTTAGAAAGGGAAATTGAATCTCACCTCTGCTGGGATTTGAACCCTGCATTAGGAGTCATGCTCTACCCCTTTACCGCTCTTCTTCCACCATTTCACAAATATAACTTAGTGACTGACGAAGGTGTACAAAAGGAAGATGGCTGAACAAATATAACATAGTGACGCATGTGTACAACAGGAAGATGGCTGAACAAATATAATGTAGTGACGCATGTGTACAACAGGAAGATGGCTGAACAAATATAATGTAGTGACGCATGTGTACAACAGGAAGATGGCTGAACAAATATAACATAGTGACAAATGTGTACAACACCAAGATGGCTGAACAAATATAATGTAGTGACGCATGTGTACAACACCAAGATGGCTGAACAAATATAATGTAGTGACGCATGTGTACAACACCAAGATGGCTGAACAAATATAATGTAGTGACGCATGTGTACAACACCAAGATGGCTGAACAAATATAATGTAGTGATGCATGTGTACAACACAAAGATGGCTGAACAAATATAATGTAGTGATGCATGTGTACAACACAAAGATGGCTGAACAAATATAATGTAGTGATGCATGTGTACAACAGGAAGATGGCTGATTTTTGAATTTGTTGAGGGTTTTTTTCTGATATTACATTTGTATTTGCGAGATTTTAGTTTTGACCAAAATATTTCCAATAATACAAATGTTCAGATGATTATTTTATTCATATTTCTTGGTTATGAAAAGATGAATTATAGTTATATTGTTTAATATTTATTAATGTGCTTATTAAAAGTTGATAATTTCTACATCAAGATGTAGTTCAACATAAATAATGTCGGGTGACAATAATTATAGACTTGTCATTGCTTTGTATGACATTATGCTCTTTCAAATAACAAAGAAACTACAGTTACTTTAAAGCAGGTTAAAGTGGATTGGTCTACAATGGGCACATTTTTTCTTCTTAGGTATTTCAAATATGGATATAAACAATAGAAATGTATATTTTGGATATTCTTATAAAATTGTTGAATAGGTTCTAAGTAATGTATGATGAACATTATCTAGAACAATTTATAATCTGCTTTATAATAATATGTAGATCTTATATTGAAATCAAATACTTCAGTATCTCACACTTGCCAACAACATCTATATACAATTCTTTCGTGGTTGGTTGTTATGTCTTGATACTAAATTACTGTTCAGCATAATTATTTATTGTATTACAGACCTTTTATTAAATAGAACAATTCACATTGCTTTCTAATTCATACTGGTTGTTTTGGTTATAAAGCCACTTTTCTGTTTTGCTTGTGAAAGAAGACCACAGTGTGTTACTATTTCATAGTCCCTGCCGACACCATGCTTATCTGGAGATGTTCTTATTGAGAAAAAATGACGTAAATGTTATTGTCTTTGTATAATTATTTGATTTAAACTATGATAGTCATACATACATGTATATGTACTATCTTTAAATTTCAAGATGCAACAGTGAATATCTGGAAAATAAGTTTATACAGTAAGTCTCTTCATACACTTGTATTACAGCTCTGTGGTCTCTTTTATTATAACAAATTGTTAGAAAAATACTAAATTTAAAATAATTTGAAATACGAGTGCAGTACATCAATGTTTATATAAATATAAGGAGGATTGTGCAACAATATTAATGTTTGGAATACTTATGGAAAATATACCCATTGTAGACCAATCCACTTTAAAGGCCCATTATGCCTCAGAAATGCTTTTATTTTTTATTTCTCAAAAGCTTTTTAATTTTGGTGTACTTTTAAAGAATCTGTAAGTTACTCATTGGCCAATTACCATAACTAATTACTGTAACTATCTGGAGATCAGCTTTTGCTTTTTGGCAATAAGTACAGTTATAGTAAATAAGTACTTTGTATGGAAGTCAAAATACTACATGTCCTTTGTTTACATTTTGCTTTTTTTATGACAAATTATTCAACATTTATCCCAATTTTTTTTCTTCAGGTAACAAGCATCTAACATTCTCTAAAACCATTATTTTAACTTTATAAAATTCATGGTTGCCCTTTCTAAAGATGTTAAGATTTAAGTTTCTAATGCATACTGTGCCTTGAAGAGAGGTACTTTTTAAAATACATGTCACCATGCACTATTTTTTATAACATCTGGTTGATTTTGAGCTCCGCATTTCTACCAAATTACTCCTGGAGTAAAAACTTTTTGCATACTTCAACAATAATATTTAGTACTGTGAATAGGAAGTGCCATAGACTAGCTTTTAGAACTTAAGTTTTCGCATGTGCTACTTTTTATATACTTGACAATCCAAATTTTCGTAAAAACTAGCACCAATCTGAAGGTGTAGAGGCCAGTCAAGATTCACACTGACATCCAGAAATATTCTAGCAAACATCAGATGTTCGTTTCTTTTTTAAAAAAATCTTTCTTTCACATCTTAGTACAAGTTTTGGGAACAAAATAACAACAAATTCTTTCTTTTTTACTTCTTTTTTTTTCCAAGACACAATACCATATTTTCATAGTACAGGTGATACAATCACTGAAAATTCAACAATAAAAAATACATGTATATTTAGTACAGTCTCACTTCAATTTCAGCACAAAAAAAATATATAGAGATGCCCAAAAGAGATTTAGTTCTGTTTCATGCCCCCTATTTTTTTCTTCAACTTTTTTGGGGACTTCTGCTTTTTCAAAATTTTCTTATCAATGAATATAAAATTGCATTTGTAAAAAAAATGAAACAAAACTGAAAAAAATCCTTCCAATTATTAGTTTTTTTTGTGAGTCGGAGACAAGAAACAAAACTCCAAATAAAACCAGAATTCACTGCTGACCAGTACTAAGCCTGATTTTATAAATACTCGATGATTTAAAAAAATATTCAATCAATGATACTTTAATATGTTTTTTCTTGTTTCTTTCTACAGATAAACTATTGACTTTTAAAGTACTTATATTTTGATATTCTTTGATTCTACATGTAACAAAGACTTCGACCAAATTTTCAGAAAAGACCAACTGCGAGGCAATCTTGCTAATTTCATTTACAGATATGATTACATGTACGTTATTGAACGACCGTACAAATTATCATCATTTCCTCCAACAACATTTCATTTAACAAACAGAACCAATCCTGTCTTATAACTCATAGTAGGTACATACATGAAAATCTAAATGATATATTTATTCGTACAACTGTACATACATGTACTTCATAAAGTATTAAATAACAAAACAAGATGTTTTTTACTGTTGTGTACGTGACTTTCCTGGAAATCTCTGTTTCCTGAAACAACAAATAAACCGACTGTATATGTATACAGATAAAGAGATCATCGCGAATGTTTACAAAATTATTAATGTAACAAATACTAACATATTAAAGATGTATTAAGCATCAAATTCATATCCTCAATTATCAATTATTTTTACTTAGATCTCATATAAACCTTAAGTAAAATATGTTTAGCGTATATTGAAAAATATCAAATGTATATGAGGAACAAGAATATTTGTGATAAAAATAGAACCTCCCTGATGCTATATTCACAAAGCTAAAGACATGGTTTTACTATGAGGAATAAAAAGAAAATCTATCTTTACCCTCCATGACCTTGACCTTCACCAAACTGTGACCTTAACCTCCATCCAACAATAACCTTCACTCAAATGTGACCTTGAACTTCACCCAACTTTGATCATCACCAAATTACAAGGGGAGAGGTCAAAGAAAGATATCAACACACCAAATATTAAATAAATTTGTCAATAATTGAAGGGCTATGGGAAATGTTAGCTTTCATCCCGCTTTACCAGAAAAGTGATGAACCTTTTCCTCCAGTATAGAGCCATACCTGTCTGACCAGACTCTACTCTGTTAGTAGATCAAATTTTGATTTTGAAATACCCTTAAACTTCAAGTGGACTGATCCAAATTCAAAGCAGAGCACGTCCATTCCTTAAGTGTCCGGTGTAATGGAAGGACAACAACAAACCAGCAACTTCATGCTCTTTGAAAACACTAATCAATAATTATTTTGTATAAAACAATGTATGTTATTGTTAAAAAAAATTAATACCTTAAAAACACCAAGTCTAATCCTTGTGACTGACTTACAGTCTTTATCTATATACCTCAGGTTTAAATTTAAATTTTCAACTTTTAAACATACATACAACTATTGAAAATTATTTTACTTCAATTTATAAATTTAATAAATGGATGTTCACAAAGTATCTATGGCAACAAAAATAAAACAGTTTACCTGCAAAAAATATACTTGCAATTAAGAAACATAACCACATGTTTCCTACTTTCTGAGAAATCATAATTCAGATAGTTTAATAATAATAATATTGAAAAACAGAAAATATCAAGTCCTTGGTATCCTAGAAAAGCAATGCCTTTAAATACTATGATTGTTCCAAAAAAAATGAAGATCTGGGAACTTTTTAAATGTAAGGTCTTTCTACAAATAAATGTAACTTCAACTATACTTATTTTGTGACAGTGTACATTTGTATCAAACAATATACAAGTCCAGTGACTTCTCTGTCAATCTTGACAGAAAAATCTTGACAAAAGAAATGTTTTTCAAGACGTTTCTTTAGTCTTGAAACCACGGTTACCAGTACAGAATTGATGAAAATAATTTAATAGCAAATAATACAAATACAATACAGAAACATTTGAAAATAATTAATCAAAATAGAATCAGAGTTAGATCTACATCATTTAAATGCAGATCTACCTTGTGCATTTTGATTTGATTTTTTCTTATATCAATGCTTACAGCCACAGTGACTTGCCTTTGCCACAATTGTGAGGTCAAAGGTCAAGCTTTAATACTGGTGACTGCTCATTTAAATTACATATACAAATTACATATACTTTGATTGATATTCCATAAACCACTAATTAACTTTTCTGAATTTGAAGTAGGAAAGGTATGTTTTTAATTATGGTAGGGATAAACAGTAAATTTACATTTGTTGGATATTTAATATTACCAACAAGTGAAATGGCACATCCAGTTATTTTGGAGGAAGATCTCAGGTGCTAATTCTTTCATTATTTCAGGCATTAGCCGGCAAGCAAGCTGAACCACCATTATTTCCCTAAACTATCTAGTTAGGTTTCTTACAAGAAATCAAAAGTGTAAGTATAAAACAGTTCCACATGCTTTTGCAAATGAAACTACAATGACTTTAACACAGTTAATTGAAGCTCCATATTATTTCATTCTTTCACTGTTCAATTCAGTGCAGATCTCTATCTCTTAAGCAAATACCTGTAAATTTATTCCAGAAAACAATAATTAATTCCCTCAAATTATTTTAGAGCATATCCAATAGGCTGTACAAGAAAAAAGAATAAAACAAAAAAAAAGTTGCTTCCTTTGTCCACTCATAGGCTTGATGTTGATATGAAATTTGTACAAATGAAAAATAAAACAAACACAACAAAATCATGATACATGAAAATATTGCAGGGAGTAATGACATAAAAATTTGAAAATACAAATCAAAATATTGAAGAGCAAACAAAATACACACTACATATATGTGCAATAGTATAAGATCTCCAGTACAACAAAACTTGTGTGCAATAAATCTAACTTGTAATCTACCTGTATCTAAATATTTTTTTTTTTGCATACATATGACATATATATATACATACATCTGATCTCAGCGTGAAGATATACATGTATGTGGCTAAAATATGTGTATGCTTACAGAATGAATATGTGAAATATTACATTGTCTCCTTAATACCATACAATTTATTTTCACATGTATGCAATTTCTGGTCAATTTACTCTTTTTTTTAACAATTTTTTTTATATAATTTTTTTCTTTTTTTTTTAATTTTTTTTTTTTTTTTTTTTTTTTAAAATTTTCTTCTTTTTTTTTTTTTTTTTTTAATTTATACATTTTTTGTTTGAGTATAAAGCTGAGACGAGTCTATAATGTAAGACTACTTGTAATGAGAAAAAATTATACACAGCAAATATTGAAAATTTATAAAATAAAGTTACAATGCAGTAAAATAAAATTTCAACATAGTACAGTTGTAGTTTTTCTACAATTTATCACTTTACTTCTGAATTTGTAACATTTTTTACTGAACTGTAACAGTCAAAGAACATCTGAGAAACATTCATTAACATTTACCCTCCTTATTATCTCAAATGGAATCACCCATCTTTCAATCTGGACAAAACCATTTATCATTTTTAGCGAAAATTTCAAAATATGTACTGACTGAATAGCAGACAGTGCAGACCAAAAGGTTAATGCAGAAAACTTATATACATTGTCTTATAATTCTTAACTATATTATATGAAGTTGTTACTATTCTAAGTAAATTAGAAAACATAATGCATATTGTGATAAAATGGGTTTTTGAAAATGAGATGAAAACCCCTAAGAATGTACATTATGCTGGCAAATTACTAGTTAAAGTGAGAGAAATAACCCTTTCCTTCTTTGGCTGGTGATAAAAGCATATAAAAAAAAACAATAAAGTAAAATCAGTTAGCTAAAATCTAGTAAATCAAACAATTGGTCTTACAGGCTTAATGAATCAATAGACTATGAAGTTTTTTATTGTAATTGCTTAAAAGAAAATAACTGTTAATGATTCAAATAACAGTTAAACTTTTATGTATGTAAGTCTTAAAAATAAAGTCCACTCAGTAGACACAGACGAAATTTCTAATTGTAAATTTGTTGGTAAGACATATAAAATCATGACAAGTTGCCTTGTATCTTCCGTAAACAAACGGATTATCAACATTTTTTTTTTTAAGTTTTAATTCTTCAAAACACATCAACATCTATTTTTTCTCTTCTTTTCTATATGAAAGTTTTAAATATAAAATCTCATAACAAAAAGTATCTACAAAAATATTTTCAATCGTATGACATTAAGTTTTTAATCTTTAAAGGTGTTTCATTTAGATTACCAAAATTCAAAAAGTATGAATACATTAACAGTGAACATGCTTATTAAAGCTATTTTCCAAACCTTGGAACTTTCTCAAATGAATTTGCAAAATATGTAAAAAAAAATATAATAAAACACACTTTACTGACTATTGCAAAAAATGTTATCACATAGTTTTAAAACATACATCAAAATACTTAACTTACAAAAAAAACAACTTTAACAATATCATGAACAATAAACAACTTGCAGGATATATTGGGAGGACATTTTGATGCAAAACTTTCATTTAACCTAAACTTTTAAGAAAAAAAATATCTCTTTCTATATAGAAAAAAAAATTAATATACAAATATATCACTGTGTAAAAATTAAATATTTATACTTTATAAGATTTCTTCAACAGATAATAAAAATGTCATTTCACATCAAGATTTTCTTCTTTTTTTTTTAATTCAAGTATTCTTAAACAAAAAATTCTTGTAGCTCTTGTGTACAGCTTTAACTATTTTGAGTTTTCATGAAATTTTGCACCAATATGACCCTGATGTTAGCATGAAGTTCCCTGCACTATATAATACGCATGTCATGGCAATATCCCTAGATGAATTAAAGTTCTCCTAACTTTACATGAGACTCATTAGATAAGGCATATTCATTTTTTCTTTTGTTTAAGTTTCACAGTGTCAACGTCAACAGCAATACAACATTCTTATGTACAAATAAATCACTTCTACTCTACTTCCTGTCTAAACGATGTCACTTCCTGTCTGAATGCCATCACTTCCTGTCACAGTTATTATTTTTTGTTCATGTTTAGAGCATTCATGATGTCTTGGCCCTGAAGAAGGCGGCTACTGTTGGGTGGAGCATTCACATCCACATCATGGCTAGACACTGATGTGAGAAGGTTCTGAAGAAACCCCGTTGTGTCTGGCCTTTTCCTTGATATGATATTATCCTAGAATACAAGATCAAAAATATTTTAATAGAGTGATGGAGAACATTTGAGGCAGGGCAATTTGATTTTTTTTTATCTATCCTACAAATACAGGTGAAAAGCCTTACAGGTGAACAGTCTTTCACTCTATTGGTTCCTATCCTACAAATATAGGTGAACAGCCTTACAGGTGAAAAGTCTTTCACTCGACCAGTTCCAATCCTACAAATATAGGTGAACAGCCTTCTACTCATTCTAACAGTGCCAAAATTCTAACAGTTCCAAATGCCAATATCCTCCAATCCTTTAGGTTAATACTAAATTTTATCAAAACAAAGATGAAACTATCCCATAAGAAGATATTCTTCACAAGTTTATACTACAAAACAGAAAGTGTGAAACTCCTGTCAGAAAATCAATAGCAGTTTCTATAATGAATTTCTAACAACAATCATTATAAATTAAGTATGTATATGCAAGGATTTTTTTTCAATATAATCTTATAATCAGAAGTGTGTAAGCAATTTTGCTACAGAATCTTTATATGTGATTTTAACATAATACAACAAAACAGTTTGCTTATATTTGCAAAATCTGTTTAGAAATCTAAATCAAGTTATATGTCATATGCTAAAACATATCAGTACAACAAGGTGAAGAATTGTTTGGACACATTTTTGGGCACGGTTTATAGCATGTAATTATGAAACTTTCCTTTGGTCTGAAAAAGAAATAATAAAGACAATGTATACCTTTTTACGGACACTGTAACCATGAGCAACATCCTCTCCTTTCAACAGGAGGTTCATCAGTACACTGTTATCTTGAGGAACTCCTACTGTAAAATCAGAAATAAAATCTCTATGTTCAAATTCTACATTAAGAAAGAGGGATCATGCAAATGTCTGTATTTAAAAACAAAGAACAGGATTTTCTAAAATCCTTAAATTCTAGCAAATTTTAGCTGAAAAATTTCTTTCAAAATAAAATATGAATGACATATACATTAAAAACATTTTTGATCTGTTCAATAATCAAAACTTTCTGTTTAATAATCAAAACTATAACTGAAAGGTTCATACAGCTATTTCCCAGCTGTCCCTGACAGAGGAACACCTCTGGTACCCTTAATGCATAATTTCAGATACAAAATATAACCAGGTTGAGTCCGAAACTTACTTGAAGCTAGCTAGATAATTGTTCAATATTGAAAATTCTATATCCCTCGGCAGAACTAGAATTTACGAAAACAAAAGCTGTCTGCAGGACAGGGTGCTCGACTATTCTCAGTGCATGATAGTGAAACAAGAGCCTTAGATAATGTAGAATTTTTATAAGTTCAAAGAACGACCATAATTCTGTCAAAATCTCTCTTAGAATTCTGAGCCTTGGGCAGTGACCTTCTATTATGCTCTCAAATAAATATGTTCCCTTCAGTAGTTTTTGAGATACAAACTTGCATGCAAAAAATTAACAAAAGTGTGACGGCTAAGCCCACACCTTGATGAGTACAATAGCTCTCCCTATTCTTCCAATAGTCAAGCTGATAAAGAGGTTGGGCAAGTGGTTCTGTCAGCAGCCTTTAGTATCAAAGTCTACCTACTACAAACATTTTCTATTAGTAAAATGTAGTTACCATGTAGGCTGTTCCCAATACTGACAGGTATCTGATACTTTGTCATTTTCACAGGCGGACCTTTCTCCAGGTTACTACGATCCAATCTCCGCTTCATCTTCATCATCATTTGATCACGTGGCCCCTCTAAACTCTTCTTTACTAAATTATCTCCAATCACATCATAAGCTGTCTTTGATTTCTTCTCTGTAGTTGGTCCGTCATATCGTTCATCTCTCTCATGGAAAACGCTCTCTGTACAGCCGAAGATTCTAAATATAAATGTAAGGATAATGATTTTGATTCGATATAACATATTTTTTTTTTAATTTATAATTTTCTTCACAACACTTTAACAGGCAAATTAGATGCGAAAATATCTATAATTCTGTTATAACAAACATCTTAAACTACATAAATACTGTAAATGTTTACATATGTATGGTTTTACCCCACTTAAACATATACTGTAAAATGTTTACATATGTATGGTCATTCAAAGTAATTATACAGTTTGTTAACATAATTTTATGGTTTAACCCCATTCAGAATACAATTTCAAATATAAAATGTATGTTTGACTGTTTTATCTTGAAATAAAGTCATGTAGACTTTTACATGTTAAAAGTTTGTAGCATAGATTAGACAAAAAAATTTAAAATACAGCATCTGATAATGTATTAATACATTTTTACTATTATTATTATTATTATCCGAAGTTTGATTGGAAGGGTCAAGAAGTTGTGATCAGGTCTTACCCTGGGTTAAAGTCAGCTCCCATATTGAGAAGGCTGTCAGTTGAAGGCTGACTTAATATGTAGTCTTCATCAGAAGTCATTGGGATAAATGGTGCTCTCAGAGTAAAGTCTATCTCCTGTAATATAAAATACTGAAATGATAATTATGTCAATAAAATAAAGTAAAAAAGATGCTTCCTTAGCATTTTCTAAAGTTCATGAAAGACAGGAGCATGAAAGGTCTTGTAAATTCTTGACCATTATCTTGTACACTGTCATTATATATTCAAAGTACTGGACAGGAAAAGGTTAATAGGGACTAGAGGACTGTTTACTACTCTTAAATAATCAAAAGTTGTTAAATAGGAAGTCAGACTTCATTTATTAACAAGAATATTTTTCCCCAATAATAATATCTCTACAAAGGATTGGTTATACTCTGTATGTAACTTTTTGGATGACTTTTTATCCTTAATACACATTTTATAGTTATAACTTCAAGTATATTTTCCTAAATCCAAAAGAAATCATGTAATTAAATATGAAATATTACTCTGAAAAGACTGTACAAAGTGTACATGCATGTGGACTGAAGTATTTTCTAGTGGTGTTTAATACATGTGTCTTTATAGCCCTTTGTTTCCTGTTATAATGCCCAATAAAATAAAATGTCAAAAAAATAGACCAGCATTAATTATATATTCGCTACTTGTGCTTTTATAATTCGCTACTTGTGTTTTTGTTATTATTTTCTATTATTTGAATATTACAGACCTGGCCATTCTCCATGCTGGGGTCAAGTGTTGTAAAGAGTTCATCCATGGCGCTGATATCTTGTGGATTGATTGTTGTTAAGTAATTGGCTGGGCTCTCTGCAGGGCTCTTGAAAAACAAAAACAAAAAAAGAACAACAATAAATATATTCTAGTTTGTAAAGAACAACAAAAAGGGTAAACAATTAGTAAACATCTCTCACTTTCACCAAACTTGTAAAGATTAGGAACTAACTGATAATAAGTCACACTTGTATGTTAATAAAATGACAATCACATATAGGCTTGGCATGTTTCAAAATATGAAACCATAAAAAGTCCAAAATAACTTGTTCTACCACAAGAAAACTAGCTTCAGAACCTGGGTACCGTTTCACTAACATACTTACGCAAATTCTTAAACTTAACGCAAAAATTTCCATTGATCTTTTTATGTCCATAGCAAGTATTTGTTTTTATATTTTATGTTAATTAAGTTTTGAGCAAATGAAAGATTGAATATATAAGATTTAAAAACATGTGAGTATGTTTGAATTTATTTCCTAGCACATTGAAAAAAATTTGGGTAAGTCAAGAATTTGCGTAAGTATGTTAGTGAAACGGTATCCAGATTTACATTTTTTATTTCTTTTCCTTTTTTGAAAATTACTTTTTCTGTATTACAAAAGTATGAACTATCTCTTTTATGTTCTTTCTCTTTTGTATCATAGGCAAAATAAAAACACTTCCCTTGTCATCAGAATATGGAGCCCAAGAATAAATGAACCAATGTTGGAGCATCTGAATATGACTTTTCTATCTTTATCCCCATCCCTGTCATCGTAAAATGTAAACCCCAGAAAAAATGTAGCCAATAAACAAGATGCCTGACAGACAGTGCAGTAATTGGAGTGTTGGTAACTAATACCCTCACTCCAGGTAATGCACTGTGCATGTCTTAGTATACATTTTAACTCTGACACATTTTCAATAGAAAGGTCTCCAAACTATGATACAAGGATCTGTTAATATGACTATTTATCTTTGATAACTGCAGATTCATTAAGGAAATTACCCTTCATTTATATTTTGAACAACTGGTCAATACTGATGATTCTAAATATATATTACCATGAATTTCATTCTGAGGGTTTCTGAAAGTCCTTTGTAACCATTTACACAGACTAGTGTATGGGTAAAACATGCAATACTTTACTACATGTAACCTGCCTAAATGAGCTCTTAAACTTTATATAGTTTTATATACACCCGCTGCTGTCAATTTATAAAGAAATCTCACTTTTTTCGTTAAAAAAGGAAGTTTGCAGCATTATAAATTTGTTATAAATATTCCTGACAGGTTATATGGCCGAATATAAGCAGTTGTTTGCGATGTAACCCTTGCATGGCGGCTCGGGTATTTACAAACAACCCTTTATATAGCGCCATATAACCTTTCAACAATCTTTATAACTAATAATATACATGTTAACCATTAGCCTGCTGAAACTGAAACTGATTAGCTTTTGCTACAAGTATATAGCCAGGCAGGTCTGCACATCTGTCCACTCTGATCAGGCTCTAGCTGTTAGCTTACGGCATAAAACTTTTTTTTCATCTTGATGTCCCCAAAATTGATAATAGAAAGTTCTTAAATTGAAGCATGGACTAGTCTATTTTACAAATTCAGCAAATAAAGGGTTAACAGCTAAATGCATCTATTTTAAGCATATATTTGAGGCAGCTCAATATAAAATATGTATTCACTTACCAATGTTCCATCAGGTGTGGATCTAGCTGGGCTGACAAGGCGAGGATTTCCCACTTGGTCCTCAAATCTTGACACAAATCTGTCTTTTTTCCTCGGAACATCATCATACAGGCTTATCTGACTGAAGTCTTCCACTGGAGAATACAACACATATGAGCCGTGTCACGACAAAACCAACATAATGGGTTTGCAACCAGCATGGATCCAGACCAGCCTGCGCATCCACGTAGTCTGATCAGGATCCATGCTTTTCGCTTACAAACCCTATAACAAGAAGAGAAACTGATAGCGAACAGCATGTATCCTGATCAGACTGCACGGATGCGCAGGCTGGTCTGGATCCATGCTGGTTGCAAACGCACTGTTGGTTATGTTGTGACGCGGCTCATATAATTTGTTTCACTTGAGAAAACAACATAATTATAATTTGACACTAGAATATGCAATAGAGATCATCTACTAACCATGTGCAATGTGCCTACTAAGAAACATTCACTATAGTTTTAATATTTCTTCTAAACTTATTGATTGGATGAAGATTTTGTGCCATTGAAATCTTGACCTTTGACCCAATGACCTCAAAGTTAAAAGATAGCATCTTCATGCTATTGGCCAGTTTAACAAACCTAAGCATATGATTTAAAACACAGGGTCACTATGACCTTGACCTTTGACCATATGACCTCAAAATCAATAGGGATTATATATTGGCCAAGAGCAATGTCATTAACAGCTTACAAAAATTATGAAAACCACAACTTACACCTGATTATTCATCTCGAAAAAATAACAGGATGTATGTGGGGACAAACATTACATCAAATGGGTTTACAGTGGTTATCCCACAATGCTTTTTAGCCATATATCACCATATTAGCGGCATAATACTCTCATGGAAAAGAAGGAATCGAAGAATATTTATTTATAGCTATTGTTCCCACAGCCAAACCCAATTATATGCATGAATGGATGGATGTATAGACCAACCCCAACACAGATTGCTTCCACTTTTTAAGTAGGGGCATAAATTATTGACTTTGGTATACATATAACTCAAAATTACTGTATTTTGTTTGTTTTGTTGCGTTAAATGGTAAATAAAAAGTTGTTCTGGTGGTGGAAAACATCAGTGAATCATTTCAGACTTGAGCACATTGATAGAACCATGAACTTTCTGTAAACAATCTTAATACATGTATCTTCCTCACATGAAAGAATCCCCATGATCCCTTACAATAATCTAAACCCACAGCAGCAATGGGCAAGTGATTTGAATTCAGCAACTTTGACCACTTGGCCACAACTCAGCCACAAGGGCATAAGATTGCTAAAGATAATAAAAATGAATATAGGACATAAAGTCAGAAGACGGTGAGCACAGGATCTAACAGGATATAAACACTAACATGACAAGATTAGATAAATGATTTACCTTTTTTCACATCTTCAAATAAAGGTATGGTAAGTGGTATGCATACGTCACTGTCACGTGGAGCCAGGTGCGAGAGATTAGGCCTGTCAGAACCATCCAGAGCTAAATATAGAATACACAACACAATTATAGTTATTGTCATATAAAGTCATTAAATCTGATATTAGTATTTTATTGATATTTTAAATATACCTTAAATTTATCCTCTTATAATAACATTTAAGGATTATCAAAAAATTATTACATTTTTTCATATAAAAATAACCAAAGGAAGAAGATTCTCGATTAATTACTCATTCACAATATGTTACTCAAGGACATACTAGTACATGTACATATTTATTGGTATTTACATTTTATTTCAAATCATATATTATCTAAAAATATCAATAGCAGACCTTCACTATCACTAATATCAAAGTATATCTTCCATGCCAGGTATTTTCTTTTCTTCCAAATTAAAAGGAAACAAATACAAAATGCATTGAATAAATATTTAAATTTGAAGACGCAAAAACGACATGCTATATTAACATCAAGAATGTTGTGTGTTTTTTCTTGAAACTTGTCTTTAATGATTTTACAAGACACATACATCTGTTTTGTCATAAGCAGTTAATGTAATCCACAAAAGATCATTAATTTTTTTTATAAAGTACAACAGCGGCTATAATAAATAGCTAGCCTTTATATCATCACAAATATAAGACAAATATACAATGTACATGTAAGACAAATAATAAAGCAGCAAACACAACAGATTCAATACCATTAGCTACTTCACATCTTTAAACCTTATCCCCACTAAATATGCCGAATGGACTCATCCATCTTTCAATCTGGACAAAACCATTCATCATTTTTTTGGGGAAAATTTCAGACTGAATAACTAACAGTGCAGACCATGATCAGACCCCACATCTGTGCCATCTGTACCAGCTCATCTTGTTCTGCATTGTTTGCTAGGGTAGGATCAGTTACTGCTTAGTAGGTTAAGGGTAAGATTTTACAAAAAAATGTTTGAGTTTCAAAGCAACACAAGTATATTACACACAACCAGCTTGTTAAAAGTTATTTACATACATACATTAATCAACAAAGCTGATACTACGTTAAACATGCACATGTTTCCTACTACTTATCAAAAACACTTTGTATACTTTGTTGTATATGTTGTATATACCTTAAAGAACGCAAGCACGCACAAATAACAATGGTCTTTTTATTACATGTGTGCAAAAAAAAATTTATTACTTTTTTTTTTAATATTAGTTAGTCTATTACTAGTCACTGTGCGCTCTGACAAGCCTCTGGTTGATAAATATTTAGTATTTTGATATAAAAAACATCTAAAACAGCAACAATGGACATTCCTTAATTCAAAGCTAGAGAACCCATTATAATATTAGATTGCTACATGTAAAACAGTTAAAATATCATTTTACTACAACTGAATTGTATAATGCATATTTGAAAACATGTCATTATTTCAATAATTGTTGAAATTACAAATGGATATAAGTATCATTTTACACAAAAAATGCGTACTTAGTGCGCATTGTGTACAGGAAATAAATACTGCACTTTACTAAAAATTGCAATCGTCACACTAAAGTGCACGTTTACAAATTTTTGTAGCTTTTTTTGTCTTTTTAACCAAACAAAATTAAGAATGTGACAATATGTTTATCTATACGTCATGTGAACGTCAATTTGACAAACTATGAAAATAATTGGACAACAAAGAAGGAAGAAAGATTTAAAATGTAAACAATTTTTTATTACATAGTTTACAGTAATCGTTACAAGTTATTTTGCTTTTCTTACTCTTGTCATCAATAAAATGAATTTAACAATTTATTGTAAATGTTTGATGTTTTTTACATAAAAGTCAGATATTAGGGTAAGTCAGATATTAGGGTATCTCCAATTTACTATTTTCTTTTGTTTTAGTACACGGATACTATACAGGTTATTCAATCAGAGATGTTACAGTATATTTCCATTTGTCAATATATCATTCAGCACAAAATTTTGTAAAGTTTGTGATATTTCAAGTTTTAAGTGAATCTACTGGTGCACTTAAATTGGAAATTCAAATGAGCCGTGCCATGACAAAACCAACATAATGGGTTTGTGACCAGCATGGATCCAGACCAGCCTGCGCATCCGTGCAGTCTGATCAGGATCCATGCTGTTTGTTTACCAACAATTTTACAAGTAGAGAAACTGATAGCGAACAGCATGGATCCTGATCAGACTGCACGGATGCGCAGGCTGGTCTGGATCCATGCTGGTCGCAAACGCACTATGTTGGTTTTGTCGTGATGCGGCTCAAATGTATATGCAAATGATAATAAAGAGAAAATAATCAGAATTTATTTTTTTTTTCTTTTTTGCAATATTTAGACCAATTTTAATTAAAAGCTTTGCAACAGTCCATGTTTGGGTCATTTTGTGCAATAAAAACTATAACCTACGGTATAACTCTGGAAAAAACAGAATGAACAAATTATCTAAAATTTTGAGCATATGCTGTTGATCCATGAAAAGAAAATGTAAAAAACCTTTAGAAGATTCCTTTTGATTAATTCTTACACCACTAACATAATTAGTTTTGATTGGGTTTCTTTTTATATCTTTCATGACAATATTGTTGTTAATACCCTTGTCACCAATACAAGGACATTATGCACATTTAGTGTAGATACCTAAGTTAGGGTAATTAGATACCTAAGTGAGGGTAATTACAGTAATTGTCTATTAAGAAGTACACTGTAAATAATACTACAATAATAATGGGCGTTAACCTAGTACTCGACTATTCTAATATTTCCTTAATCGGAATGAAGTTTGATAAAAGATCAGATATTATGATTATACTTTCACATTCATTGCCCCACCAAACGGTTAACCACTAAGTTTTTGAAGAGCAGCTAGTACTGAAACACTGACAGACATACAGATGGATGCACAGACAAATAGACATACAGACAGATAGACATACATACAGACATTGCCAAAACATTGAATCACATTCCAGCACACTTGACAAAGGGCAATAACAAAAGTAGGCAAAAACACTCGAACATTATTTAAAAGAAATTATTGAAGAAATTGTAAGTTATGGCGCAAATGTTGAATGTTTTAAGTGTGATTGATTCGTAAAGGTCCTGTGCAACATTTAAATGTAGTAAACACCAATACATCATCCCCGACCCCCACAGCACATAAACACCACCTCATGGCTGTACAGGGGACTGCAATATGGAGAAATGAGCACACTGTTGGGTCAATGGTAGTCCAACTAATTGTACAATGAGATATTGTGCTATTTTCGTGTCTGGGCAATATCTCACCTCTACAAGCGAGACTCTGAACCAGAACGAAAATATCTCAGAATCAGGCTTTGGCATGTCAATATATTTTAACTAGGTCAATGGATGGTTGCGTTTAGGCACCAAAGTAGCTGGAGATATGTCAAACTCACAGTGTGTAGGAATTTAGCTGGAATTTTACCAGGGAAACTAAACTTCAAATCTCAAACACTAAAAGGGCTGGTGGCAGTGGTTACAAATGACTACACAGTAATTGTAAATATATTGAGTACACTGATTTCTGTCATTTCCTATTTTTTGCCCTAACCCACAAGACACTGTATAACTAAAAATCTTTGAAAAAAATTGTGTGAACCTAATATATACATGTATTAATCATTTATCAGTGAGGAAATAATTGTTGTTTAAGACCTGGTTACAAGACCTTGAATAGTGACCTAAAATAGAGCCAGATAAAAACTTACTGTAAAACAGGTCAAGATCAAACATCAAGTTATTTAAAAACACTTAAAATATGTTCCCAATTTATACCATACATAAACTGTGGCTATAAATAGATTAATAATATTTTCCTCTATTTTTCTGTTATGTAATAAATATAATATCTTCAAGGTGAAAATTTCTTGGTATGAAGTATAAGACCTTTCAATAATAAAATTATAAAGTTTTCTGTCAACGAATTTGTGAATTCAGTTTAAACACATGTTTTTGCACCATGTGTATATTGTATTGCTATTAGTGTATGTAAATTAAACTTGTAACATGAAACAATGATTACAACTGAGGTAACAAATGTTCTTGAATTCTAAACCAAAAACATTAAACCATGGACAAAATATATTTCTTGTCTTTGTTTTGCATACTTTATGATACATGTATGACTTACATAAGTAACTTTTAACATTTGAGACTTTACTTTCATAAAGAATGATATTATAAGTTAGAATTGTAATAACCAAACAGTTTCAGACAGATAAGTTCACAAGCGTTCACTTTGTGATTTTTGTGAACTTTTTAATCATGGAGTAAGTGTTAACAAGTTTAACTTTGCATGAGCTCTAAGAAACATATTAAATAGCAGATCTAGGAAATCTTTATGATCTGCGTCACGACAAAATCAACATAATGGGTTTGCGACCAGCATGAATCCAGACCAGCCTGTGCATCCGGGCAGTCTGATCAGGATCCATGCTGTTCGCTATTTGTTTCTCTACTTGTAATAGGGTTGGTAAGCAAACAGCATGGATCCTGATCAGACTGCGCAGATGCGCAGGCTTGTCTGGATCCATGCTGGTTGGAAACCCATTATGTTGGTTTTGTTATGACACGGCTCATATTAAGTAGCAGACCAACTAGTCAAATTATTACAGTACAAGTATACTTTGGTTTTTATAGTTTCAATTTGAAATATTGTTAAGCACTTATTCAGAATGAATACTGAAGTGGTAAGAGTTAATGACTATAATTATTTAACCCTTATCTTGCTAACCACAACAGGTTCTATCCATGTCACCAGTGCAGCAGCACTTTCATGTAGTCTGAACAAAGTGCATTATCACTATTCATTTGGTATACTTTCACATCTTTGGAGGCTTTTTTGTAGTTTTGTTTTTAAGAATGAAAGATGTCCATTTATGATATAAGGCATGGTAACCATATTGTTTTTTTTTATAAAATAAACTTCAAATACTGTAACATTTTCAGATTAATCTCAAGGAAACACAAGGTTAAAAGATAATATGAGCCGCGCCATGACAAAACGAA